GTCTGGTAATTTGAAGGTTGTGTTATGGCGCGCAATATAACCCTTCACTTGAGCCCAGATGAGCTCTATTGGGTTCAGTTCACAGTGGTAGGGCGGTAACCGCAGCACAGTGACATCACATTGACAGGCCATCTCATCAGTCACGTAACTAATGTTCGCAGGTTTGTGCTGTTTAATTTTTTCAATTTCAATTCCGCTTTCACACATGAATCGTCAAACGGGATTCCTTTTTCGCGCAACCATTGCTGCATGTCACTTTTTCGAGATCCCATAGTCGGTACACGTTCGGCTCGACGACTATGGTAGGAAGCATTATCTATGACGATCACAGAGTTGGGCTCAACTCGCTGAAGCACCCCTTGAAACCAGCTCTCGAAGCAGCTGGAATTCATTTCGTCATGGTAATCACCTCCTTTCTTAGAGACGAAAATCAAGTCACACTCTTCTAAAAAGCCACTATCGCTACCAATATGAGTTACGATCAATCTTTGACCTTTCCCTGACGGTCCACGAAGACCTGTTGACAAACCTTCAATGCTAGCTTGTCGGTTACTCACTACGTTTTTGTCTATCCAGGTTTTTTTAACTGTGTGACCTGCATTTACCCATGTCTCGTCCAAATAATAGATTTTTCTGCTTTGTCGCCTATATTCAATCATTTCGCGTAGGTATTTTCGACGCCAGGCGACTATTTCAGGTCTCTCTATCAATACTGACTTCCGATTACGTGTTTCGTAACGAAAATTAATTTCGTGCAGGGATTTCTTCATTACCTCGACGATCATTTGGGGTATAATTTCATTTTTCTTGATCGCTGCATGTACAGCCTTGAGGGTTGGTATCTCATTCCTAAAGAAGAATGAATGTACGGTTCGCCTTAACGCCATTTTGCTATCATCATCCAATTTAACGGCCTTTCGTCCCTTCAAATTAAACTTTGGATCAGTAGTAGCTCCAGTTTTCTTCTTTTCATCCACCACCCTGCGAATGGTCCACTCTGGAACGCCTGTCATACTTTCACAACGCGCGAGTGCATCTCCCTGCGACATAGTTCTGTTCAGATAATTGAACACGTTGAGCACGATTTCTTTCGCGTCCCTCTTCAGTGCTTTACGAAGCCGTCTACTTGTTCCCTGGCTTTCAGTACTTCCACTCGTGCCATTGTACTCTCCATGGTTAAGTATAACCAAAACAGTAACCACAGAAACCACAACAATAACAATTACACAAAAATTCTTATAAAAACACACAATATGCGATCGCTCAACGAAACACGTTCCAATGCGTTGCCGACGCCTATGAGTCTGCCGGTCGAGACGCGTCTTTGATTTCATTGGTTCTACCGGCGGAGAACAATCAGCCATTATTTCCATCTCTGTCTGTGCTGTTGACCACCGCAAAGCCACAGAAACGACATATGTCGTACGCTATACGGCTGTACTGGAAGGAAGCCGGGATCGAGCTCTGATCACGTGTTGATCACGCGTATGAGTCATTACAGTTTTAAATAGTTGTAGTCTAGTGCATAATATGACAACCATGTCGCACCCTAAAAAAATGGCGACTTATTCACAACTGACGTTGTCTGATTGGCCAGATTTTAATTTCCGGCGGGTTTCTTCCTGTGCTCTGTGGTTTGCAGAAATAACCTTTTTTCAGCATGTAATTTTCTTAACATTTCATTTTATTTAAATAAAGACCCTATTATGTTATTTGAGCCATATGCGTTTTGTTCGGAGTTGTGAAATATAACAATGTAAGTACACAAACCTATGTTTGTAAATACTATAAGAGAAACTCCACATCAAAACTGTTTCTTTTTTAAGGTTATCCAAGTCATTAGCCAGGCTTCTGGCAGATCCTGAGGAAGATCAGAGATGCAGCGGTTACTCATTTTAGGAATGTAATATACTAAGTGACATATACATCCGAACACACAGTTTAAATGGTTTTAATTTAATAAAATTTTGTATAAGTACTTAATGAAGCATAGTAAGTAAATGATAAAAATGATTGCACTGCTTTAAAGCCCTTTGACCTTTAATAATGTGTGGATGCACCCTGATATGCTACGCATTCTCCAACGCGCCTAGGCATGCTTCTGATCAGGTGCACCAACTCCTCTCGAAGTGCTTCTAGAGTCCCAGGAGGACGTTGCAAATTGAGCAGTCTCCTACCCATCATATCCCACACGTGCTCAATTGGGGATAAGTCGGGAGATCTTGGTGGCCATGGTAACAATGCGACATCATTATGTTAAAAGAAGTCTAATGTGACTCTTGCAACATGTGGTCGGGCATTATCTTGTTGGAAAGTTGGATCTGCCAGGGTGTCAAGATAGGGTAAAAGATGGGGTTCTAGAACTTCGTGGATATAACGCTGCGCGTTCATGTTACCTCTGATGAAGATTAAAGGTGACCTGGAACCATAAGCTATAGTACCCCAAACCATAACTCCAACAGTGTGATGAACATGTCTTTCAACAAAAAACTGTGGATTCCTCCTTTCACCACGTCGCCTTCTAACCCTGGCACGACCATCGTGCATGCCTAAACAAAATCGAGACTCGTCATTAAAGACAATACTGTTCCATTCCTGATCCCAGAGTGAACGTTGTCTGCACCACTCAAGGCGATAACGTCGGTGTTCTCGAGTTAAAGGGAGGACCCAGTGTGGCCGGTATGAAAACAAGCCAAAACTTCTCATTCGTCGGTAAACACTTCGCATGCCAATAGGTCTTCCGTGTTCTGCAAACCATTCATTTGCAATGGACCTGGTAGTGGAGAAACGGTCCCTTACGGCCAATAATCTTAGGCGGCGATCTTCACGGTCTGTTGTTGTACGGCGGCGTCCAGTGCCCCTTGCACTTTGCGTACGGCCTTCTCGGAGCCATGCCTGACAACATCTAACCACAGTGTCTACACTTCTTTGCACTCTAACTGCAATTGCCCGAAAAGAAAGTCCAGCGAAGTCCCACTATACGGCCCCTATCAAACTCACTAAGTTGACGAAATCGTACAGGTCTCCGTATTCTAGGCATCGTAACCGATCGTAAAGGATGTCAAGAACCAAAATCCTCCAACGTTGATTCTTTACTGCGGCTGAAATATTCATTTTTAGAGCGTTAGTGAATTAAAAAAATGCAGTATAAAAACCGGAATGTCCAACTGATAAGGTTGAACATTTTTTCACTTGTTATTTACAGTAAGATAAATACATTCACCAACTTTTATTAAAATAAAACCATTCAAACTGGGTGTTCGGATTTATATGTCACTTAGTATATTTGAAGATCATACCTGTTTGTATCTCCACATCACTCTTTGAACAGTGGAGCTCCACGAAAAGTTCAACAGCTGCCGTTGTCAACCCCTGATGTTCTGAGATTTATCAGAAGCTCAGAGATTACCTCTGATCTAACCAAAAGACTCAACTCTGAAGGATATTTGCAGAACATAACATTTGTAAGTTTTTATATGACTCAATAACTAGTGATGATTTTTGTACTGCTTCTTGTCCAAGTTAGTTTTCATACTTCGTTTTAAATGAGCAGTAGGGTTGATATGTAAAGCTCAATATAATTTTAATGAAATCAAGTATTGTTATTGTACAATAATATGGCTGCCCACAGGGGGGCTGTGGTAACAGTTATCTTTTGATGATGATCAGCACATCTGAGAAAAATTGTAGTAACATATCAACACAATTCAATTTTTTTTCTAATTTTTGATTTATGCAGGTGCCAACAAAGGCTGGTGAATGAAAACATCTGGACCATAATCATGTTAATACTGATTTGTTTGTATAAAAATGTATGAGATTTATATAACAAATATATATTTAGGTATTTGCAGTATGTTTTTCTTCTGATCCTTTCCAGATTAGGAAGTAGATATGAGTTTGATTTCCCAGAATTAAAAAATTTAATTACCAGTAACCGAATTTTCTCACTAATAACGTTTCCTCTACCCATTTTAAAAACCTTAACTACCCAAAACTATTTTAAACGTATTCTGACAGCTGTGATTAATAGAAACAATTGTCATGGCTTTTATTTTTCACAGCCACCTATGCGTGATAGACTTATTTTGCGTTGAAATGAAAATAGGTTTATATGCTGTAATTGCAACATGTGTTATTTTTATGCTGCAAATTTGATTAGGGAGTGATAAAGTTGGTGTTTTCTACTATATATTATCAAAATATTCATTGTTAATATTTTAAACCTATAACACCCTGCTACATTTTTATTATTTGTGTTTGATAAGAAAAAACTAAGATTTCAATAGTTGGGCCAACTGAAGTGGGAAGGGGCTCGTAGTGTTTTCTACCGACTGCGCATGATTTAGTACGAAACTTATTACAAAAATTTCTTTACGTGACAGGATTGTAATTTTTTAAAAAATTGGGAAGCAAATTCAGTAAAGAATTTTCTCATAAAATTTGTTACCAAATGATGAACAAAATTTTGTATCGTGAGAAACGGCCTTTACAGATATGGAGCTAAGATGTTATTTTGGAGGAAACATCGAGATAGGCATTTTTCTTACTATGACGATGATTCGTCTCATTTCTCGTATAACTTTAAGATTTAAAATCAAAGAAACGCTGCTACTTAGCAGCGTATTTGTCGCACAATATTTCAAGCTTTTGACTACATTAAAAGAGTTGGCCTTGGGACAAAAAAAAAATGACGCCAAAACAGTTTGTTATTCATCGTCCTTAGACATCCAAAAAATGTTTCTGTTGACTGGATTTCAAAGATTAGCATTAACTAAAACTCTTAACTAATTTGTCAATCACAAAAATTTCATTATCTCTACCCCCTGTATTCCAAATCATTTAAATTCCGTCTTCTCTCAAGCAAAGATCTCGTCGATATAGACCATGCCCGAACCAAGTTTCAATCGAACTTTGAAAAGTGTCGGGCTACCGCTGAGCCCATTGTGAACTGCAACATGGACATTGATCACAAGTGAACCAAACAGTGACGATCAAAGATGGAAGAGCAGAAATCTGTCGGCAAGATGAAGGAGATCTGTTACGTGTTCAACACCTTCACCGATCCATCGCTGGAGAAACTCTATCAGAGTTTTAGCGTCAAGCAGAAGAGGACAGGATTGGAGTGTTTTCTCATCACAGCTATCCTGTTTGATATCTACATGCTTGTGGTAAGTCTAAATATAAGGTGTCACGCATGATTTGAATTTACTAGAAACACAGATTTTTAGTTTGTATTTTCTGTGTCACATACGCACCCTGTAGTACAAAAGTCGACTGCAAATTTTTTGTTACATCGCGAACTGAGGTGATACTGGGTGCGGCATCTATTACTTTTTTTTACCTATAAGTTTGTGTTACCACGTGAGTCAAAAGTCATGTGGTATGCAGAAATGAACTGTCAAAGGTATGCCATGTATACTCGTGGATTCGTTTACAACACAACAACGCATTTGGTTATCCAAACTTATTACGAAAACGGTCGAAATATAAAAAATACTTTTCGCAAACTTCGCACCAGTTTTGGCCGACATGGACGCCCTACAGAGCCTGGAATTCGTTGGATTGTTAATCGTTTTGAGGAAATTGGTTCAGCTAAAGGTCGTAGACCACACCAACATGCCGTCTAGCTCGTACTCGTGAAAATATAGCCGCAGTGAGTGAAAGTGTGCGAGAAGATCCAACCACCTCGACTAGGCACCGTTCGCAACAAATGGGAATTAGTGAGACCACTTTACGCCGGATTTTACACATTGTTTTACACCTCCATCCATACAGAATCTAACTAACACAAGAACTGAAGCCGGCAGATCATCAAGCGCGGCGTGTTTTTGTTAATTGGATGCTGGAAAGAAAGGACGGATTTTCTTCCGAAGTGCTCTTTTCTGATGAGGCTCATTTTCACCTCAATGGGTACGTAAATAAGCAAAATTGGGGCTGAAAATCCTTACCAATATCATGAACAATCTCTCCATCCAGACTGTTTGGTGCGGATTATGGGCTGGTGGCATCGTTGAACCATTCTTCTTTGAAGATGCCGAAGAAAACGCCATTACCGTCAACGGGGAACGTTATCGCGGCATGTTAACAGACTTTTTGTGGCCACAATTGGATTGTATTTGTGCCGACAATCAAGACGGAGCAACGGCTCACACATCTCGCCAAACAATCGCCTTAATGCACACGAAATTTCAAGACCGCATAATTTCACGAAATTCAGATGTCAGTTGGCCCCCGAGATCGTGCGATTTAACACCTCTTGACTTTTTCCTTTGGAGATTTTTGAAAGGAAAAGTGTATGCGAATGGTCCCCGGACAATTCAAGACCTAAAGCGCAATATTCGGACTGGAATTGCGGCCATAGACCCGATTATTCTGGGAAAAGTCATTGAAAATTTTGATGTTCCGATGTTGAACTGTAAACGAAGCCACGGTGGTCACATGACTGACGTTATTTTTCATACATAAATGGCATAAACCAACCTTCATTTATCAATAAAAAAATTCGATTCCACCTCGTAAAAAGCGTGTTGATTTTTCAAATAGAAAAAAAGTAATAGATGACGCCTAATGAATATTAGTGAAATCTCACTTATTTTGTTGCTAAAATGCTTAGCCAGGTTGAAGGAGTCAACATACTGGATTGTGCAATTAATTTTTCAAAGATCGAAAATTTCCTGTACCACAATACATTGGGTACTGCGATCAGATTCCATGGACCTTCAGAAAGACAAGTAGAATGCCAACTATAGCTACCTTCCGTGGTACTTCACTTGAAGTACCTAGTGCATTTTCCATTATTTGGGACTTGACTGTAAATACTGGGGAACTCATTTACGTCAAAGATTTTTCTTTTGTAAATATCCTCACTTTTTGAGTTACGTATTTTCGTCAACAAAATATGATTTAGAAACAATCCACAGTATTGGATATATGCTTAGTGATAAAAAAAGGTAAAGACATAGGTACGAGGGATGTCTTTTAAGTTTTGCATATAGAAACATAGTAGGCCGCGCGGATCGAACGTCAGTACTCAATATTAACCTCACACTTTAGTAAACTTAAATTCAAAGTTTCGCAACAATACGTGCAGTGTTCTCACTATAGTGAATTTTTAAGTGTCGCCAAGTCATTAGAAAAATGGAACTCAACCGAGAACATTTTCGCGCCATAATTTATTACAACTTTCAGAGACAATTATCGCAACAAGAATGCCTTGCTGAGTTACTGTCCGTTTTCGGCAACGAAGCGCTACATCAGTCGACAATTTCCCGTTGGGATGGAGAACTTAAACGTGGACGGATGAGTCTTAGCGACGATCCCAGGGTGGGTGCACCAAAAACAGCAGTCACCCAGGAAAACGTCGATGCTGTGCGCAAACTCATCATTGAAGATAGACATGTGACATATCGTGAGATTGAGGCGTCCTGAAGATCTCGAAGACCTCAATTAAAAAAATTTTGAATGAAGAATTAGGAGTAAGAAAATTAGTTTCTCGTTGGATACCCCACCAGTTGACTGAAGAGCAGAAAGCAGTCAGGCTTAATTGGTGTCAAATTTGTGTCAAAAGCGGGTCATATTGCAACAATTCCTCTTAATAAGCAAAGAACTGTTACTGCGGATTGGTATACCACCATTTGTTTGCCACCGAGCTTCGAAAAATCAACCTCGAAAGAAGAATCATCCTCCGCCAAGACAATTCAAGCTCGCACACAGCTCAAAAAACAAGGCAGTATTTAACGAAAGAAAACGTGGAATTATTGGACCATTGTCCATACAGTCCCGATCTCAGTCCTAACGATTTCTTTACTTTCCCGCAAATTAAAATCAGACTGCGTGGTCAAAGGTTCCAGTCACCAGAAGAAGCAGTTGACGCATTCAAAAATGCCGTTCTGGATCTGAAAGCAAACGAGTGGTATAAGTGCATCGAAAATTGGTTCGAGCGCATGCAGATGTGTATTAATCTTCGTGGAGAATACTTCTAAAAGCAATAAAGTCATTTAAAACTACCTACCGTGTCGTTTTATTTCCATATGCAAAACTTCAAAGACATCCCTCGTATGTATATCCGAATTAAATAATTTTGGCATATATGTTCAGTGTCCCTTGCTAGTAAAATGATTGAACTTTCAGCTTGATTCGTCAAATAACTGCAGAAGCTCGTTCCATAATGTGATGGGGATCCAAAATTTCTCATTTACACGTGCTAATAAGGTGGTCGATATCCTGTTGGGGTATCTCATTCCAGGCTACTGCAACTTCGTGAGAAGGAGCTGCAAAAGTCTGTGGAGGGTATTGCCAATTCAAGAGCCAGCGACCTATCATGTCCCAGACATGTTCAATTGGAGATAGGTCGGGCGATCTTGGTGGCCAAGGTGAACGGTTGATGCCATGTTGATCCATGAAGGCTGGCTGGCATTGTCTTGCTGAAAAATCGGGTTTTGGATGGTGTTTAGGTATGGAATAAGATGAGGCTCCACCACTTTCTGAATATAGCGTCGGGCTGAGAGATTGCCTCTGATGAAAATAAGTGGTGATCTGCTACCATAAGCAATAGCACCCTGTACCATAACTCTCACGCTCTCGGTCAACGAGGATTCTGAAACTTTTCAGACAATCCTTATAAAGATGACCACTTCTAACGATTTAGTAATAAAAAAAATGTAGTTCCTTTGTTGAGCCGGTTAAAAAGTATTGAAAACTTCTACGCCGCTGCTGAATATCTGCAACGTGTGTAGCCATATTTGATGATGTTGATCTTTCAAATTAGAATAATACTACCAAAAATTCAGTACCTTTATAATGTGTGAATACTGGAGGAACATTACCTCAGAGATTTTTATTTTGGAAATAACCTCATTTTTGAAATACGTATTTTCCCTAACAAAACGTGCAATTTGCAACAATGCACAGTATTCGGTGTATCAGTCAGGCAATGAAAATTTTCAAACAATCCTTATAAACGCTAAGAAGTTTCAAGGAATCGTATTGAAGAAATAACAACTCTATAAAGTTTACACGATAAAAACTATCATATATGGTATACATTTTCATCTGTGATTTCAACTTATTGGGTGGCTACTTTTTAAAGTATTTTCTTTGCAATAAACAACGATTTTCCATAGTTTACACGCTTTCTCATTTTCTCCAACCCTTATTTGTTTGAAACATTCTAAAAATAACTTATTAATTATCGATGGATTTTATATGACAGTAGATTAGCACTATAACTAAAAGTTTTCACTTGTATCGCATCCTAGAAGAGATCGAAGTTTGAAATTTTTGAAATTCGCAGTACCTTTGAAGCGTTGAAGTGTCAACCTGTCAGAACATGTAATGATTGTGAGGTGTATGGTATTTTTATCTATGTCCACTTGTGCATTAAACCTGGATAACGCTACGGTATTTTATTTTACCTCTGATAATTTTTTGGACACCGGAATATAGCACTAGAGTAGCTATATTTAGTCTAATCATATTAGCAAATTTCCCCGAAACAATGGTAAAGTCTGGTTTTATTGATGCAAGTTGTTCAACGGGGTATTTAAAACATTGACGCATAAAATGGGTACACCAGTTTTTGATTAGCAGAAAAAAAGGAAACCGTATTTCGCATGAAAATAACAATTATCTTTCGGAATAGCTTGTGATTCATGTCGGCACAGTAAACTCGTGTATTTTGCTATAAAATGCCCTTTGAACGAACACTGTACATTGCTCAATAAACCGTGTGATGGCCGGAGAACAGGTCTTTTGAGATAAACAATTAGAATTCCCAAAAACTACTTGACCAATCTACTCCAATTTTGTTGTGGAAGAAGTACGAATCCTAGGAATTTGAAGAATTTCAAATATTTGCGAGAAACCATCGTCGCATTACCAACTGCCAAAACCTGCAGTTTGCTTATGTTTTCGGCCATAACTTTTTTGCTATTAGTCGGATCTTTTTACGTGTGGTTTCATTCTGCAGGCCTCATAAATACCTGATGATCCCAAAGAAATTTTATTAATACGATTTTTGAACTGCCTAAGGTTAGTAGAACTGGGAAAAGCTTCCTCTTGCAGATTATTCCACAATCTCGACACTCTTGGGACAAAGGAGCGGTCGTATCGGCCAGTTCTGGATGTACAGGACAGCAGTGTTTTTTCGTTCCTGCCAACCCTTTCGATT